GTATGACGCAAGACCAAGAAAGGAACGTAGTTTATGGACATTCACTGTTTGAGGCTACTTGTGGATGACCTCAACTCTGGTTGCTTCGATATTTAGGCTTGTAGAAGACAATCGGTGTCCAAGGTAGATGGTGCTATCCCTCCCAAACTCAGCTTTCTCTAGGTTGAGATGAAACTGCGTTTTCTTGAGGATATTTAACACCTCCTCAAGATGTCTTATGTGCTCAGCCATCGATGTGCTGAAGATCAGGATGTCATATAGGTAGACAATAACAAATCGATTGATTTGATGGCCGAACACCTTGTCCATGAGATTTTGAAAGGTGGCCGATGCATTCACGAGTCTGAAGGGCATAATAGTGAATTTGTACAACCCATCGCGAGTCTTGAATGAAGTTTTGTGCTGGTCCACAAGATCGACTTCAATCTGGTGGTAACCAAACTTGGGATCAATCTTGGAGAAGACCTTGCACCCACCTGCAACATCTAGCAAGTCATCAATGCGTGGCAATGGGTATGCATTCTTTCTTATTATTCAATTTAGTTCGCGGTAGTCAATACACATCCGGTGTTTGCCTTCTTTCTTGGGGACAAACAAAATCGGTGCACCAAATTCATACTTACTGGGCTTAATTCACCCCTTGTCAATCATGTCGTCGATTTGTTTTCGGAGTTCTTCTAACTCGCCGGCTCCATACGTTACACACAACCCTTTGGAGGAACGACGCCTTTTATCAACTCGATTTTGTGTTGGACTTGACCCACGTGAACTCCACGTTGTTCGGTCGAAATTTCTGGGAATCGGTTCAGGAGGCTTTGGATTTTTGTTGGGATTTCAAGGGGGCGGAGAATCAGAATAAGGTGCAGGCAAATCAGGCCGCAAAGTGGCAGCCAAAACAACAAAATTTGAAGTGGAAACATTTGGACTAGAAGTTGATGCAAAGGTAGAAGTAGAGGGAATGGAAATAGTCACATCACGCAAAGTATAGGTTTTACCTGCTGCAAATGCAGAAGGCACATGAGTAGGTCTGACCAAAAGCTATATACAACTGTTCATCCTCTTTGTGCCTGCGCCACTTTTTGCAGAATCACGTGGCATTAAGAAAAGTCACTAGGGATTCATGCTTCTCATCCAAGAGGACAAGACGCCCGTTCTCCTTAACATCTAGCCCACAGACAATGATTCCTTCCACTCAGTTCTCTTGCATTGGGGCTTTAACCAACCCAAGCCAAGAACTGTGTCGAAGGGGCACTTGTCGAAGACATAGAAGTTCAGTGTGTGTGTGACAGTTTTGTCCTTGTCAAAGGTAGTGCGCACACCTTTGACTGCCTACGTGGAGGTGACAACTTCGTTGTTGCCTACTTGGATCCAACAAAGGTTCTGCAACTCCATTTGCTTCATTCCCAAGCCCATCTTGCAAACCCCGTGTGGAGACATACAATTAGTAGTGACACCACAATCAACCAAAACAAGGAGGTAGCGGTGTTTTATGAGAAGCTTGAAGAGGGTCAACTCCGTTGTCACTTGAGCACACTGCTGTTTCATCTCAGCCGAATGCTCTAGGTGATCGTGGAAGTCGACCTTCTTAAACCACCACCCCCTCCGATAGGAGGAAATTGTGCCTACTGGTAGCTTGAATTTCCGAAACGGCGTCCAGACTACAGGTAGGCGAGCGGACTACCGGGTGACCGTTTTCCTCAGTCCCTGTCAGCGGGCCCAGTGATTGTTTGTGTATGTTTTTGTTCTTTTTTTTTTATAGAATTTGAATGGGCAAAAAAAAAAAAAAAAAAAACGGTTTTCGGATGGATCCTTGCCAGGGGGCGCGGTCGTTGCGGCGTCCTCGTAGATAGAATACCTGAGTCACGACCGGATCCCGCTGGCAGGGATGATTGGAATGACTGTCCGAATCTGGACGTGTGCCATGCAGAGCAGATCAATCATTGTTTTCTGCACCTCGCCACTAAGACGTCCAGATTCAGATAGTCATGCCAATCCTCTTTGCCTGTGGGAAAAACACCGAGTGTATCTCGTTTTCGCCCTAACCCCGCCCCCTTCATTATCTTCTTCTTCCCCGTCGCCGACTTGCTGCAGAAGCCCGTCGCGGGTCGTCATCGGATAGTTGTTGTCAAGGATGGTTGCGACGACGACAGATCCCGTGAAGTTCTTGTGGTTCTCTTCTCTCTCTAACAATCGCATCGCCATGACCTTTCCACCATCACGTGACGACTGCGATGCCCCCCCCCC